AATTATTCCCAGACAAAATAGCCCAGAGGATTCAAATGAGCAAAGCTAAGAGCCGTCAGGATAGGAGTGACATGATCATGAAAATTCTCAATCCCTCCAGTATCACATGAACCATGTGGGAGTGGACACATATGGTTTCCCCTGGGCCACCCATTTGATTCAGGCTTTGATCACAGTGTCCAGAAACTCAATCTAGGTATTGGTGTTGACTCTGAGGCTCTGTGGTAAGTGTGTAGGGAGTGGTATAACATGATTCTCACTGCTCATAACTCCCAGTATCATCAGACCTGGGCTGCATCACCATGTATATTTCTGTGTAGGTCTGGACAGAGCCACCTGTTACTCTTTCCATTCACTTTCAGGTCCTGGTTAAAGTTTTCATGGGAGAATCAGAACATGCTAGGTTTGAGCTTGTTCACAAAGCATTTGAGTTAAATCACGCATATCTCCTAGGCATGAACTGTCTTGTATCTGACATTCTACATATCTCATTGTGAACTTTACCAACTTGAGCTGCTAAGTGATTAACCACATTAACTGCTAGGTTGATGATGTCATGTACTTGCTGGATAAACTCAGCCATCCTTATGGTATCTGACTACTTAATTTTTTTTTTCTTTTGGCTACAAATAGCATGTCCTTACTAGAGGCCTCCTACTTATTTGACTTTGAACACTTTCTGAGACCCTATATTTAGTGGTTAGTGTACAAGCATTGCCTACCTTGTCATTTTTTATGTCAGATTGGAAATTGCCCTATTAATATTTTTGATACATCTGAAAGAGAAATGAGAAAGTGAAAGTTTGGTGTTGTATTCCATTTATAGCCTGTTAAAAGTGCATTCTCAAATATCTGGCACACCTTGTAATTATTTATTTATTTTTAACTGCAAATTTCAACCATAAAATAATGATACAGCTTTAATTTGAAAAAAAGAAAATTAATACATTTTATTAAGAGTTGATTTTTTTTCTTTTTCTGTAGGGTTTAAGTAGGATGTGAAAACAAATAAAAGATAACTTAGCCCATGAAAATATTGTTTTTTATTCATTTACTTGTATTCTTTAAACTAATATAATTTTAAGAGGAAACTCATTATTTTAATACATTAAAATGATTATTTTGTTAATTTTAAGTTTATATTATCATGATTATTACTAATATTTTATTAGGAAATCCTCATAACTTCCTTAGCTACACCACACAGGAATAATATTTTCTATACAAATATAAATCTTTTATTAGGATAAAGCTATCTCTGTACGTCATTGCTGCTATTTTTAAAAGATATTTATACTACTCTTATCCTAAGTTTCAAATTCCCACTAATATCCAATTACTTATGAGTGCAAAATGCATTTTCTCACTTCTTTATATAAAGATATAAACCAGAAGTTTTTGTTTTTTCTTTTTTAACCTTCTTTGATAACACTTGCAGGTGTGAGTGAAGTGTATGCAGAATGGAACTGGCAAAACAAACAAATCTGGAAACTCTGGCTGATATATTTTGTATACACTTTGCATTAATGCCTTTGGAAAAGGCATGAGTCCAATTCTACCTGCAGCTACAGATAAATAGTAGAGCCTTGTAATCTTCAGTACTTGATAATAGATCAGGTCAGAGACTGTTCCTTGTAGTTTTTCCAGTATAATTTTTTATGACCTGTTGCATGTTATTTGGAGAAAGGGTAAGTAACTCCTATTGCTCTCAGAAACACTGTGAAGGAAAATTCCTTAACATGACATCCTGATGATATAATAGGTCATGAGAAATGAAAAGAAAAAAAAAGTATGATACTTACTAAAATTAGTTTGACATATAATTTACATAAAGAATAAATAACAATATTACCAACTGCTATCCTTAGTTTTAAAAGTAATAGAACAAAGTACTTTTATGATGACCATCTAAGGTTTGTCAAAGAAATGGCAGAGTGACTTAATGAAAACAGTTTATCTAGAGCAATGCTGGCTTAGTTCTTTTCAAAATATTTCCTATGGAATTTCATACATTTATCTCAGCTTCTTTTTGACTTTTCAAAATAATCTACAAAACCCTTACAATTAGCTGGCGTGTTATTTTCTTCATGGTGTAAAATTTCCTCCTTCAACAGTAATTATAGCTTTGGGGAAAATGCTGAGGTTGTAAAAAGCAAAATCAGAACTGTAGTGGGGCTGACAGAACTGAATGATATGTTTTTATCAAAAAGTACTGCACTAGAGGTGAAGAATCTCTACATGCAAGCCGCTAGTGGCCCATTGATGGGCCAGCAATGACAATGTCAGTGGTCTCCTGGTGGCAGCCACCAGTGGGCCTCTAGCGGTCCACCAGTGGTAACATTGCCGAGATGAACATGCTGGCGGCAAACACTGGCAGCATGCCACCCAGAGGCAGATTGGTGGATTGCATGTAGGGGTGGGTAGTTGCTGATGCCTGGATATTCTCCAGTCTGTGGAATCCTCAGATCATCTAATTCTTGCACTGTAAATTGTAAATTTCCTTTCGTTGCAACTTGCATGCATCTAAATTTTGGGAGTGTTTTGCTTGTTAACAGAATTCAAAAAAAAAAAAAGAAAAAAAAGAAATAACTTTCAAGAAATCCTTGGCCAAATTTTATCTGGGCTTCCCTCATTAAATAAAACTTACTTCATCATTCAAAGTCTCAAACAAAACTTGATGTATTGTTATTGCAAATGTGCTGACCAGACAGTACACAATGACATCTTACTGTCAACTGAGTAACCTCATAGGAGAGTGTTTACACATGCACAGGAAGGTCCTCTTTGATTGGTTTCCAAGTTACAGCAGGGCTGTATTACCAAGATAGTCAAAATGTTCAGATATTTTTCAGACAGACCTCATAATCATAGATATAATTGCTCTTAATTAAAAATCCTTATCTATTGCTTTTAAATCAAGAAAGAATACATACAAATCTTCTTATATTATTCAAAGTAAATTATTGATTAAATGTAAGCAATTCCATGTTCCATAAAATATAAAACACAAATGAAGTATGTCCCGTTTTATCAGTCATGTCATAGATTCTCATATTCAGCAAAGTACATCTCTTAATCTTAATTCTTATATGAGTGTCTGCGTTACTGTTTTATCACATTTCAAAATTCAAAAGCATTTTATTAACATTTCTAATCTATGCAATGCAATAGACAATTCTCTTCTTTGATAATAAAACTACCTGAAGTGATGGTGTTGTGAATAAAAGCAAAATAATGATTTATGATTTGCTGTGTCTTTTGTTAGTTTTTACTAAAAATGTTTTATCAATCTGATGGCAATTTCTCCAAGAATATAATTATAAAAATAAATTATCCACTGTCCCAGTAATCAATTTGTAGAATACCTTTCAGGAAAAGCAGAAAATAAAAATATTCTCAGGGTTTTATAAGAGATTATAAGTCTCTTAAATGCACAGAGATGACACAAATAGATTTACAAATAGATACAAAATAGATTTGGAACTATTGTAAGGATTATAAAAAAAAAACTACAACTAAAAATTAATGTCAATGCCACAATATAACTTCATTTAGATTTAAATTAAAACCTAATTCCCAAGGCTCTTTTTTATATATATGAATACCATTTTCTTTATAAAAATATAGTAAGAAAAGCTACTTTTTGTTGAACTGTAAAAAACCAACAGATAGGCACACAGTCCTATAAATAATGTCTGATATCCTCAAGTTGAGTCATTGTCTGTATCCAATAAGTTATTTAGACTAATATTCACATTCTTGCTATTTTTACCACTATACTTCTATCATCCAATAGATTATCTGCCTCTTTATAAAGGTTTATAAATGCTTGTGTTCTTACAGAATAGAAATCCAGTAGTCAGTATGAGGAGGTGGGAAGAGGTCCCCCACTATGTGGACTGAGTACATATCGATGTATCTATTATGCTTTGCTCTTAATTGATCACTGAGCCAATTTTAACAGAATGAATACCTATAAAAGTTTTATGAAAACAAGAGACCTGCCAGTGGTTAAATCTGCACTAGAGAATTCCATTATATTAAAATAGTTCAACAGTTGCTACTGATCAGAGTTTTAGATCAGTAGTTCATTCCAAGTACAAAATACCTGTTTACTAGAAAATATTGCCCATTAGACAATTTTGAATGAGCAAGTAACTCAAAAATATCCTTTCAAATATTTAATATTAGCATAATAAAAAATCAATTATGGTTGATTTTCTTAATATTTTAATATTTACTTAGACTGTCCACTATATATATATATATATATACATATATATATATTTGATTAACAAACATGATATTTCTCTCTCTCTCTCTCTCTATATATATATATATATATATATATATATATATAGAGAGAGAGAGAGAGAGAGAAATATCATGTTTGTTAATCAAATACTGATAACTTATAAGCTTGTTTTACAGAATTCTTTTCATCCTATATCTGTTGAAACATTCAACTGCAATACAGACTCAGATCAAAATGTGCCATTATTTATAATGGTAAATATAAATCTAGAATAAGGATGATAGCTTAGATATATAAATAATTAAAACCAAAGTAAATATTTTGAAAGAAAGTGTTAAGACTGTACATACTGAACCTTGTGAGAAGCTCATGGTGTTTTATTGAAACATAATGATGTTAATGTCACAATGATTAAGCAATCAACATTCTTTTCATACAAAAATAATCTTTGCACCTTCTTTTTTAACTGCAGGAAGTATTATGTAAACAGGGTCTTTGTTTTGTGTATTTTTGCAGCTTGACTGAGTCAGGTTAAGGTGCAGAGTAAAAGGCTAATGACTATCAAGATTTACCTTGCCAGCAATCTAACATTATGAATCCCCACTCCATTATGTAAATAGAATAGATTACCCTCCCTGTCAGTTGTCAGTTAGGGAAATAGGTGGTTGAGTGAGTGTGGTTACAGAAACAAGTTGAAAAGCATCTGCAAAAGCTTCTTTAAGTTACTTGTTTATCTTATAAACATTTAATTGTGATTTAAACACTTTTCTTTCTTTTTTTTTTTCTTTTGATGAATTTGTAGTTCCTGGACTTTGTTCAATGCTTGTTTTGGTGAGATGGATAGAGAGATAGAGAGAACATTATGGGCACCGGAAAGAAAAAGACAAGTGAGTGAGTGAAAAAGTGGCAGAAAAGAGAAAACATCTAAAAAGAGAGCGAGAGAGAGAGAAACAAAAAAAAAATTGAGGATGCATGAGAGAAACAACAAAAGGAAAAGTTGAAAGGGGGAGTTGAGAAAGAGATAAGAGAAAGAGAAATACAAAAACATCAAGAGGGTGTTCAAAAGAGAGAGAGAGGAGGAAGAGGCAGCAACGGTGGCAGGGAGAGAAAGAAAGAGGGAGGCGAGTACAGGGTAGAGAGAGAAAAAAGGAGGGTAGACCAGAAAGAAAGAAAGGAGGCGAGACCAGGAAGAGAGAGAGTGAAAGAGGGAAGCGAGACCAGGAAGAGAGAAAGCGAGAATGAGAAAGTAGGAGGCAAGACCAGAGAGAGAGAGACAAAGTAAGATATAAGGAGGCAAGACCATAGAGAGAGAGAGAAAGAGCAAGAAAGAAGTGGGTGAGACCAGAGAGAGAGAGAAAGGAGCCAAGACCAAAGAGTGAGAGAGAAAGGAGGAGACAAGACTACAGAGAGTGAAAGAGGAGGTGGTGAGAACAGGAAAGGAGAAAGAGAAAAGAGGAGGCAAGATCAGAGAGAGAGAGAGAGAGGCAAGAGCAGGGAGAGAAAGAGAGAGAGAGAGAGAAAAGAAGCAACGAGAGCAGGAAGAGAGAGAAAGGAAGTAGCGAGAGCAGGGAGAGAGAGAAAGGAAGTAGCGAGAGCAGGGAGAGAGAGAAAGGAAGTAGCGAGAGCAGGGAGAGAGAGAAAGGAAGTAGCAAGAGCAGGGAGAGAGAGAAAGGAAGTAGCAAGAGCAGGGAGAGAGAGAAAGGAAGTAACAAGAGCAGGGAGAGAGAGAAAGGAAGTAACAAGAGCAGGGAGAGAAAGAGAGAGAAGGTCGAGAGAGAGAGAGAGTGAAGAATTGCAGCATTGGGCAAGAATATGAAAGAGTGTGGATGAAAAAGTAATAATAAGATTAAGAGAGAGAAAGCAAGTGGACTATAGTAAAGGAAAGATGGAAGGAAAAAAATTAACAGAGAAAAAAGACTGCTAGAAAGAGGGAAAGAAATTTGCCCTGCCATTATTCTCTCATTTTTCTCTCTCTAACAGTCCCTTTCTCCTCTAAGCTGATTAAACTTGTCACCAACAGTAAAATGGGAAGATAAAATTGAATGAAATCCTAACAGATTTAGTCTATTTATTATGCAATTTACAAAGAGGAATTGACTAAGATATTGTAATGACTTTAAATCAATACTTTTATTTTATTATCTTTATATACTCTAGTTATTTATATAGTTAAATGAAAAATTAAATTCAGCATGAGAGAAACATAATAAATGTTATTTTCTACACTGAAATTGAATTTAATGATATTATAAATGTTATTGTTTACTTGTTGCATCAAACTATTGTTTTATTTTTTTTTTTACATTATGAATTTTGGTTTCTGCTTTCTATTGATGTACTTGATTCCCATGAAGGTCCAACCAATCAAATTATAATTTTGATTGTTTATTCTCCTTTGGCGATTATCATCACAATACTAAATAAAAATTGATTCTATGACAAATAATAGCCATAACAATTTTCTTTTGAATAACCATGAAAACAACTCTGAAAATGTTTTCTATAGAAAATTTTTTTCTTGAGCCTTTCATTATAATCAAGAGATCATAAGACATCTCCCTGCACTTTGAATTTGTTTTTGCATAAAACAAAGAATAAAAAACTCTAGAAATATTAAACTAATGTTTGAAATTAATAATAAAAATATATTTGCATTGATAGTTTCAAATTGCAAAATATGAAAGCTCAGCACTTTTTTCCAGTTTGAAATCATTGAATTTTTCAACAGGTTATTTTATTACTGCTAAGATTATATTGTAATGATATCTTCAACACATAAATATGTTTTTTTTCTTCCTAAACTTCATTGGTACATTCTAACAAATTTATATAAGAATCAGTTGTAAAGGCATATTTCCTAGATAATATGTGATGATTCGGTTAAAGTTGATTTTGATTTATCTATATTATAATATAGCTCACGACAGTTATGACCCAAAATGTTAATGTCAAGTATGAAAAGCAATGTCAACTTTCATTGAATGCACTCAACCATACTATTTTACCTACTTTATTATTATTATTTTGAAAGGATTAATAGATAAAGATATTTAATTTTGGAATCAAGAAATTTTTTAAAAAGTTTTATGAACATGGATATTTGCATAAAATAAGTTAGTTAATAAGGTCAAACTCAAGTGTTTTGCTAAATGCATCATAAAATCATAATAGTAACTATTATTCTTAGTTGTCAAATTTCATAAAATGGTTTTTGTCTTTAAAAACAAACTTTTAAAGTTATTGTAGATATTTAAAATTGATTTTTACACTTTATAAGAAACAGATTTTAACAGAGAAACAATGGATGTCATTGCAGATGATTTTTGAAACATTAGACTTTATATTACTAATATAAACTAAAATAGAAGAAAATTACTAATATAAACTAAAATAGAAGAAAAAAAGTTATATAGCTAAGAAGAATTAAAATGAATCTAAGAGAGGTTAGGGAGAGTCATTCATCCAGATACTTACTCACCTACTTTTCTATAAGCCATTGTGGCATACCAAGGATGAGATATTTTATGAAGTTATTTGGCAACAAGAAAAATAGAATTATGACTTTCCCAATGGCATTAATACCAAGAGAACAGTCTCAATCAAAACCAGTTCAACTTTTCTATTCTGGTAAAACTTTAGTGTGTGTATGCATAACATCTTAAATATACAAACATATACACATTAATATGACACATTACATTAAGATTTCCATGTCAATGAAATATTTTTACTTAGTAACTCCTGCAGAAGCAAAACTGAATTGACCTTTTCTGATTTTCTACATTAAATTACTTTACAATTTCCAGTCAAATGTTTTATCAAACCAGCCCCAGAACAACATTTTATGCAAATAGGATAGATGAGGTGAAGGCAAAACAACACCAATCATCTGAAGTATGTTTGAAAGTTAAGCTTCAGATATTAATTGAGGTTTGGTGGAAAGGGGGTGGGAGAGAGGAGGTTTGGTGAAAAGGGAGAGGGAGACTGAGGGAGATTTGGTGAAAAGGGGGAGGGAGACTGAAGGAGGTTTGATGGAAAGGGGGAGGAAGACTGAAGGAGGTTTGATGGAAAGGGGGAGGGAGACTGAAGGAGGTTTGATGGAAAGGGGGAGGGAGACTGAAGGAGGTTTGGAGGAAATGGAGAGGGAAACTAAAGGCAGTTTGGCAGAAAGGGGGAAGGAAACTAAAGGCAGTTTGGCAGAAAGGGGGAAGGAGAATGAAGGATGTTCAAGAAAAAGAGGGAAGGAGACTGACAGAGATTTGATAAAAAGGGAAGGATATTGACAAAGCTTCAATAGAAAGGGAAGGATATTGACAAAGCTTCAATAGAAAGGGAAGGATATTGACAGAGCCTCAATAGAAAGGGAAGGATATTGACAGAGCCTCAATAAGAAAGGGAAGGATATTGACAGAGCCTCAATAAGAAAGGGAAGGATATTGACAGAGCCTCAACAAGAAAGGGAAGGATATTGACAGAGCCTCAACAAGAAAGGGAAGGATATTGACTGATGTAATAAAGGAGTGAGCACATCAGTAAGGAAGTCAATGTCCAGATAGGCTGATTAGCAAGGAAGAGAATATTAAGACTGCAAGCTTTTCCAAAGCTGACGACTTGCTGAAATAGTTCTTCCAGTATAATCTCATTTCTAGACTAAGAATTTTAAAAGATAAAGTGTACTCTCTAATTTAATACTTTATCAAAGTTTTAAATCTACAACTCTTTTAAACAAATGTTTTGGGATTTGGTTAACACATTTGTACATGAAAACTAAGAATAATTCTCTTTATTACTGGTTTATATGCTGTAACTAGAGAAAACAATCTTTTTTTACCTTCCTTACATAAATACAATTTGAACAACCAAGGATCTTTACAGAGATTTCTTTTTAATTCTGAGAAAATGTTCAAGTGAAAACAAAACAGAAATAGAATATGTTACAATGTTAAAAAATATTTTGGTAATTTTTAAGTTTCAGTGTTAAATTTTCTAATTCCAATTTCTACAAATGAATATAAACAAAAATTCATAATTTACTTTGTGCTTGTAATTCACAAATAAATCACAAAACTGCAAGTTAATGGATGGATGGTATGGCTGAATTTTCAACAGTAGTAGAAAGAACCTAAAATCACACATAATATTTTTATATAGAAATGTTCTGTGGAGAAAGGCAAAATGCAACTTTTTAAAAACAAAAAACAAATTGTTTATATAAAAGATAATTAATAATTCATGCTGGCCAACCCGGATAAAAACAAACATGTTGTAAGAATACTTTTTTTTTTTGGCAGGGGGGATAGGTACTGTCTGTAAATAAAATTTCTTAATGAATAAATTATATCACTGCAGGTGTCACATTGTCTTAAGTGAAGAGTGTAGTGGTTCTTTTTTTTTTTTTTTTAATCATTTCACCCCAAGCAAGGTGTTAATTCCACTGGTACGGGGGGGGGGTACAGAGAGTGAAGGTGTGAGAAAAGAATGGGTAAATGGAATCGAGGAAAGGATAAAAGCTGAATGGGGTTCAAAAAGACAGAAGATGGCTACTGACATTGCATTTAAATTTTTGAAGATTGTAGTTATCAGGGAGGCAAGGAAACGAAAGAGAGTTCAACAGGCAGGAAGTGTGAGAAAATAAATTATTGGAGTAGAAGTGGTAGTTACATTTAACTAATTCAACAGTAAAATTAATGCCAGTCTAGTACCACACTTAAACTCACATAGACTGGGCACCAGAGAAAAAAGCTTGTCAAAGCAGTTGCCATGAAAATATTTGTGGAAAAGACAGAGGGAAGCCATGTCATATCAGTGAGAAAGTGACTGAACTTGAGATGCTAAGTCAGGATTGATTACATTGCAGATCTTTCTTTGGATTTTGTCATAAACCTCATGGATGAACTTAGATGCAAGTATTTAAGTTTAAATTCAGTTGGTCATTTCTGTAAAATTTCAAATGTATTAGAATTAGGTACCTCCAAAAATTCACTAAAAAAAGAGCATACCATGATGGAAAAAAGCCCCAAACTTGGTAAAAGTTTTATTGTCAAAATGTATGTTATTATTAAGAGGAAAGACCAGAGTATTTTTTGATTATTACATTTTTTTTTAATCTTTTCTAGTATGTTTGAAACTTTGGTTAAAAATTTTGTTTTCTTACATCAACAGGTGGACCAAAGATTAGTATAGGAAATTTAGCGTCTTTTTTGTTTTGGAAAAATCAATTGTCGTATTTTAATGAAATTTTCAGGATTTATTCACAAATTAATTTATTATATATATATAAAGAAAATGTTAAATCTTGGTAAAAATGTTTTTTTAACCTCTGTTACCCCCACTTACTTAATTTTATGAAATTTCAAGAAATTAAAATTCCACCCTCTTCATATTTATATTAGTTAAAAGCAGGACTCTTGGAAAACTTAAATCAACAATTTGTTTTGTCAAACAGAAACACTAATGAATTGTAAAATAAAAAATGCAATAAAACTGACATTATTTAATTAGAATTTTACAAATGAAATATATTAAGGACGCTATTGTCTTAAAAAAAACCTTGATGAATAATGAATTTTTACAAGAATTGTTTTCATTTTTTAAAAATTTTAATTAGAATAATTTATAAAGTGTTAAATCTTTTAAAATTCTTTATTAATTTCACCCTTTTAGATATTATGTAAAAACTATATTTATAATCATGAATGGAAAAGCTTAGTATAAATCATCAAATGCCAATATTTTTTACAAGAATTTTGAATTTTTTTTTGTATTTATATAAACGTACCAATTTTTATAAATGCAGATGACTATACGCAACATTATTAGAAAATAAGAGTGATAACTGTAGTAAATTTAAAGCCAGAAAATATGTAAAATTTAATAAAACATTATGAAGAAAATTTTCTTAAATTTTTAAGATTACCGAGTACTTAAAAATTGAATACTCATGCTAATTCAATTATTTTTTTTACCGATAAAGCCCCCCTAGAACATTAGATAAATATCAATCTATCAAGCACATCAACAGCTTAAAAACAGCTACTGCAGTGTTAAAAAAATGCACTTCTGTAATATTTTAAACTTAAAGTAAATAATATTTATTGCAAATCAGATTAATTATACTTTAAATCAGCTCTCATTCCTGAAATGAAGTTTCAGAAAAGTATATTTTATTTTTGGAAGAATGTTTAATAAAGAATATGACATTGCAATGAAAGATAACTAGAAAAAGGGGTACTAATCAGCTATTTTAGCAAAAAAAACAAAAACAAAAACACTTCCAGTCAATTTAAATTACTTTTGAAATACAGTAAAGTATTTTACTTAATTGAAATATTAAATTTAATCTATTAGCTTGAAATTAAAACTAAAATAAAAGATTCAAGAAAGATTTTTTCATTTTAAAAATTCATTTTAAACCTTAGGTATCACATTTTCTGTGGTGGTACCTAATTATAATCCACAAATAATTGTACATATAAACAAAAATAATTCCCAGAAGTTGATTATTGTAAAAATAAAAGAGCTTAACAGAATTTTTGAATGCATGAATGATTTTACTTTTAATAATGAAATATAGTCTTATAAATAATGACAATATTATATAGCTTCCAAGTCTGTAACCAAATACTGGCATTTTTCTTTATATCTTAGGTTTTGACTGGTTTCAGAGCCTGTCTAAAGAAAAATAACAGGTTGATACACTTCATACATAAATGATTTAGAACTGTAAAAACAGGAATCCCAAGCATTTCACTAACTCACACCATCACTAATGAATTTGAGGATCAAAGATAGATTTTAACTCACATCTTCAAATAGCACAATGATTCTTCTTTTATGAACTGTGTCCCTTCTGGACATAGGCGATCACAGCTCTCCACAATTTCCTGTCCTTTTCAGCCCTTAATAAATTTTGTATTTGTGTTATTTCTCTGAAACTCTGTTCTATCATCCATTTACTGAAGCTCACCAGGTAGGTTATGTACTGCTTTCCTCTGTCCCTCTTGCCTTCAATCTATCCTGTGATTATCAAATTTTCTCAGTGCTCTTTCCTCGTTATGTGCCCTAGAAATTTCAGCTATCTCTTTTTGATGTTAAGTATAAGTGTCCTTTTTATTTCCATTTTCTCTAAAATTTTATCATTGCTCACATGTTTGGTTCATTGCTTTAATTCACTTCTTCATCTGTGATAAGATTGTTCAGCATTCAGTCATATAGGAGGACTGATATTATATAACAGTTCAGTACTCTTATTCTGTTTATAATGAAACTTTCCTATTTTTTAATACGTTACTTAGCTTTTGGAAGGCATCTTTTGCTATCCCAATGCACATCTAGATTTCAGTGTTGCATTTTCCATTCTCTGTTAAAACACTTGCCAGATATTCAAGTTGTTGTACTTGTTTAATTTTGGTATTTCCAATTTGCAACATGCATATTGGGCTGTTCCTTTTGCTGATAACCATGTATTCTGTTTTTTCTAGGTTTTAATTCTGTATTCAGATACTTTTGTTTTATTTAATTATGAGGTTACCTTAAAAAATAACAGCAATATTTAATTTTGCAATTGCATTGATTACGTTTTCTGCATGGGTAATTTAAAATGTTTTTTTTTTAACTCTCTTGTTATATGTAAGTAAGAATTTTACCTTTTAAATCTTTAAAAGTAAAGATATCCAAAGAAAGTTAATATGAAACAAAAGAAAAAAGCAATTTATTAGAAACCTGATTTCCATACATGCTAAAAATGAAATATTCTGTTATGTTGTTACCAAAAGTAATGTTATTGGCATCAATTAATGCCTTCTGTTAGTTAGCATAACAATGGAATATCTCTTCTTATCCCAAAGAGATAAGGCTGTGTGAGCAATAAATATATAAAATCACATCATGTTTTTGTTTTGTTTTTTTGCTTTTTTAATAGAATAGATTGAGTTTTGTAACAAAAAATTACAACAAATGTATTTATGTATTTTTTCTATTTGCAAACTAATGAAAGTAACATACTAAAAAAACAATGATCCCAAGCAAGTCAAGAATAAACTCTTGGATTCAACTTCAATAAAATGTTCATATAACCTTTTAAAAAATTGTCTGCTGATCTCAGCTAAACTATGAAAGCATTATTTTTCTTCTTTTTTTTTAAACTTATAAACTTCAGGGTAAGTTAGGAAGCTAACATCCGTTTTTAGCATTTTACTAACAAGGGTCCCTTTCCTTTTTCCCATTTCTATCTTATTCCTGAGGCTGTCTGAACTAATGACCAGAGAGCCACTTCTGATGCTATCTCTTACTGAGTACTCCATTACCACAAAATCTCTACCGCCTCCACCATCACCACAACACCTTCAGACATTTTGTCTCTACTATAAACTATGTCTGTCTTTCACTGGAGACATACATGCACTCTAAATGATTGAATTCCCTAACCAGCAAACAAGTAGATTTATAATGAGTTGGAACAGTTCTGAAAAGGTTGTTAGAGTTCGAACCTATGAACGAGCATCCCTGTTTTCTTTTTCTTGTAAAATTTTGCATGGTAAGGAAATTGTGCTTGTTTAAATCTAAATTAAATTGGTTATGCTACGTTTTTTTTATTAAATTTAAGTAACGTAATTAATGTGTTTCGCAATTTGTTTACAAAGGACTAAAAACCGTTTTTATTAATGGCCCAGACAAGATAATGACCAATGATTTTAGAGCAGTAAGCAGGTTTTGTAGTAGTGATGATGATGATGCGGGTAAAGAGTAAAAGAGATAAAATGACCACTGACCCGCATAATTGGTCAAGTATATCTAACTGGCTTTATTTGGTTCACCTGAGTGACCGGGACATGGCTCCGCTTGTCTGAATTCATCGCCCTCTTTTGCTCCCGACACTCTTAACTACATCAGCTTCTTTGATAAATGTCCACCTTTTCTTTCTTTCTTTTTCCCCTCCTCCTTTCTTAAGCCCCCCCCCCCCATCCGTACATCGGAGGACACTACAACAGCATCAGCAGCAGTGGTAGAAGAAGAAGAAGAAGAAGAAGTTGCTTCAGTAGCAGTAGTAGTGTATTCTTCGGCTGCCTACCTCGACAGTTCATCATACTCTATCGGACGACTCTCTAGTGATACCGGTATCTTCAGAGACAACAACATAACTTACCTCTGGATATTTTCAAAAGAAAGACTTCAGAAATGACAGTAATTCAGGTACGATTTTCCCTGCTTTTTTAAAGCAACAAAACTTATTCCTATTTACTTCTTTATGCTCTTGAATTCTATATTTACTTCTGCATTCATTCATTTGTTCTCAAATACTTTACTTTCACTTGTAAGAATTAAAAATTAACAAATAAAATGTAGGTATGTAACTAAAACTATTATTGACTATATGAGTACATATGCGTGTGGTAACAAACAGTAGTGAACTACAAGTGTTGGACAGCTAACAACCTGCTTCCACTATGACCGAAGGGCCAGTCACCTCTTTTTCGCAGTCGTCTGCACATTTCCCCAGTCCTTTTAGAGATACAAATTACCTACTTATTCATTTCTCATAACACCAAGCAATCTAGTAACAATAATTGACTTATTCTTAGTCGAGTAGTACTTGAGATAATCTATATAAAAAAATATAGGTAATCTTTTTTTATGTGTTATTCGTCGGTTTAGTTGGGCAAGTAGCAGAACTTGTCTTTTTCAACTCAGCCAGGACCAGAGGAAAAAAAAAGGTATTTTCTTCTTCCTACCTAAATCATTTTTAACGGTTAGCAGTAGCACATGGACGGTGATGATGTAAAACCTGAACCATCAATAATTCTTTACCTTATTTATTTTTTTAAAATATATTCGGTTCTCTCATGTTTGGTTTTTTTTCTTTTTTACTAAACTTCATTTCTTTAAAAATGTAAACAGGTTTTCTTTTCATTTTTCCGATTGCTAATTAAATTTGAAATAAGAACTATTGATTTTTTTTTCTTATCTTTTTTTAATAAATACTTATTTTTGTTATTTTCTTTTTCTGAACGAACGATTAACTTTTTAAATGTTTTTAGTGTGTGTATGAATTTGAAAATTGACAATGAATTTCATTTAAATTTAATGATTTACGTAATAATTTAAAGACCAAAAATGTTTGCCTGAACTGTCATCAGGTAAAATAAGGAAATAAATAAACACTCAACACTCAACAGTGATTTGATTTACTTACAGAAACCAATTATTCATTTTGGATTTGGTATTTTTTTATGACCTGGTTCCAAGAGATGAGATTGTGAAACTTATTTTTAGTAAATGTTATAAAATCGGGCAATTGAAAACTTATATTGTCAATTAAAAAAAATAAATACGTATTTTTTTGTGTCTGTGTGTTTTTTTTTTTTGTACCACTATGCACAAATTACTGAACAGGACAGATTGTGCAAGACAACACTGGTAGTGATAGTTGTCAAAACGAGCTATTCCATGAATTTTTCCGATAGTCAATGACAACTTTATTGAGCACCAGGCCGCCGCCAGGCGTAATTAGACTTCAATCGATTTTTAAGATTTCAGAAACAAAACCGTATTTTCTTTTAAATAGAAGAAAGTGAAAGACAATATATGTCTGTCACACAATACTGCAATTTAGTGCAATATTGTGTTAAAGAAATTTAATTTGGACTATCACAAACTTTACGAGATGGAAAGTTAAGCCCACATCTTTTCCACATGAGAGTAAACAGTGAAACACGCTATTTTTCCTTCTAGTTTTGGATTTAAAGAAATAGAAAGGAACAAGAGAGAAGTGTCGGAGAGTAAACAAGACAAATGGCGGGGGGGTGGATAGGAAGTGTTTTTTTCCCCTCTGGGTGTGTATCCCGCAGGTTTTTTTGTATCTCACACAAGGAGCTTAAATTTCCAGCTACCCAGAGTTGATAGGAATCTTTGGTTTTTTATCTTCTTTTTTTCACCCTTAATTAACTCTTCGAAAATTTTCAAGGTTTATTTCCAAAAATCTATTTTTTTTACTATCAAGACAACTCGAAATATTTGTTTGCATCAAACAAAAAAAAAAAAAAAAAAACTATTTTTATTTTTTTTACTCTTTCTCTAGTTCTTTTTTCATCCTTCGTAAAAATCAAAACAGTGAATTTCTTTTCGGTTTTCATTCATTTCTTTCAAATATTTATTTTTGTTGTTATCCATACCCTCATAAGAATAGGTATCCTACTCGGAGCGGGTAAACACACAAAAATACAAACATTATTTAATCTAATCATTATCTAATTCTGCGTTAATAGCTGATATTGTGTTCGAAAATAAATCAATATTGATATTTTACTACTGAGCTGACACAACCAAAAGAAAAGATGTAGCTCTTAAAGTGGAGAATGACACAAAAAAAATCTTGTATGCCTTACTTTTTTTTAAGGAGTGTATTTAGCAAAATAAACTTGTTCTTAAAAGTCACTAAAGGGAAACCATGCTGATCGGATAAATGAAAAGAAATAGAATAGAGACGGTTTGTGGAAAACACATTATAAAAAAAAGTAAAAATGATCTTGACACACCTTAGTGAAAGGTTTTAAAAAACTGTCAACAACATACTCTCTCTCTAGTCTAACTTTATAAAATTTGGGTAATGGGTGCCCCGATTAATTGGGACTGGAAAAGAAAAAATGTTTGTGTCGAAGAAAAGAAAAAAAAACGGTCAGGTCTTTTCTATTTTAAATTTTAGTTCTTCCTTGTGATTCTTTCTTTTTAAAAAAATGATATTGTAAGAAAACTTTTTAAAAATTTCTATTTGACAACATTGCCCTTTGGCACCTCTTTAAAAGCCTGCTATGCTGAGACTGACAGCAGCATGGAAATAGCGTTACATGCCTCCTCGTATTTAAAATCAAAGTTCATCTAAGAAAAAAAAAAAAAAAAGATTTTATGAATTTAAAATCGACCAAAACTACCCCCTACCATCTAGCAAAAAGCATACAAGCAATTCAACTAAAAATAATATTTTCTAAAAACGAAACTACGTTAAGTTTTTTTTTTTTTTTTAGCTATTTAATTTTATTTTTATGCATCAATTTTCAAAAAATATTTTTAAAGTCAATTTGAGAGTATCAATTTGTAAGTTTTTTTTTTTTTTTTTTTTATCAGTGTTAGTGTTGCGTTATCAATTCATAACTTTGTTTTTTTGTTTGTCATAAGTTCCTTATGATACGACCAAAATGAAGTTTTTAAAAAAAAAAAAATTTTTTAACCTACGTAAGAAGATGGAAGAAAAAAAAGAAAGATGTTCCACTGTTATCATCTGCTTCGTTTTTAATACCTTTTTTTTGTTTGTCACAGATTTGAAAGCTGTCCAGACACCGACAAATTGAATCTTGATTGTCGGTTATTATAATAATAACATCATAAAAGAGACCGGAGTTAATGCCGGCATTTTAATTATCGTGAACTGAATATAAAGATTTTCTTTAACTTTAAGATTGCAAAACCAATTACGAAAGAAAAAAATACTCTTTAAAAAAATAAGTAATTTTATAAATTCGGGGTCATTTTTGAGCTGACATGCGTATTTTCGGAAGTGTTTTTTTTTTTTTTTTTAATTTAAAATTTATGAAAATAAATTCGTTTTCGGTATTCAACATCGTGTTTTAGCATGAAAAAGAAAAAACATTGGAATGATTACATTTATATAGTTTATCAGCAGTAATTGAACTTATATACAAGTTCAATATTCCATTTAAAAAAGCAAAGAGAAGTTCAACCATGGGCTTATAAAATATGCTTTTTAAGTATAAAAAAAATGAACATTTTGTGAACAGTGGTGACATGAACCAGTTAATTTTGTTGAAATTTTAAAATAACTGCAAATTACTATGAGACAAAATACTTTTAGTTTTATTTAATCCATTTATTTATTTTTACATGTAGTGGGGCCTGAAAACTTTTAAAAGATAAAATAAAAATACATACAATAAATTTAAAGATTTTTTTTATTTATTTATTTTATTTTTTTCTCTCTCCTCCTTTAGGTATGTTCCATTTGGTATGAGCAGTTAGTGGTTTAAGCCAACCTTGTGCTTAGCATGGAATAAAATATACCATGGTGGCGGACAATGGAGATGATGAGAAGATACAGTGCCCAACTGCACTACCCTGATCCTACCCAGCCCCCATCTGGTGGTGTTTTGGATAGCAGTGAAGAAGGAGATAGCAGCCGAAAATGCAAAACTACACAATCTTTTGAGGCCCTGTTTGACAGTGAGTCTCTCAGTGATGTGGTGCTCAATATTAATGATGGCGAATTGGCCTTCAATGCACACAAAATGATTCTTGGAATGAAGAGTGAAGTGTTTACTCAGTTGCTCAATGAATTGGTAACTGTTGATGAAACCCAGAGGCCTGTTCTCAAACTACATGTGGATGCAGAGTGTGCACAAGTATTCAGCAGATTTCTTTATTTCATATATAGTGGAGCAGTATGGCTGCACCGAGAATATGTTGTACCCCTCTATCGACTAGCAGTCAACTACTCAGTGTGGCCCTTAATCAGCCACTGTGAGAATTACATCCTTCAGATCCTGGAAAAGACTTTACAATTTGGCTATGGCTCAGCTAGCTTCAGTGTGGAGATAGTATGTTACCTGTGCCAATCAAGCTTGATGCCTGAACACATAAGATCACAAGCATTTCATGTACTGTGTCTGTGTTTCCCTCAACTGGCCTGTAGTACAATGTGGCCTTCCTGTCCCTGGCAGCTGGTTCGTGATCTCATCCAAAATGATAACCTGCATGCTGATGAGGACTGTATCTTAAGTGCAGCAACAGGTTGGATGAAAAAAAACAAACTTCAAGACAAGTCAAAAATTCAAGATATACTTGCCAACATTCGATATCCTCTACTCAATCGACGAGTTTTGTACCACCTTTTAAAAAACAGAGCCTTCCAGAACTTTCCATACATAGCAGAACTTGTAGATAATGCTGTAAAATACCAATGCTTCAAAGATCTGGCAGAAGCCAGAAATGAATTTACTGGCGTCCAGTACCAGCCCCGCAAAGGACAGTTACAAAACAGTACCCCTGTATCCAACTCAGTGATTAATACACAATCACTGTGACTTGTACATATTGCTTATACAATATGCAGAACAACTAGATGTAAATAA